GTGGAGAGCAAATGTTTTGAGAATGATGAGGGCAATGAATGCACAAATATACTTTGCACAATTGATGTATGTTTGCATTGTGATAAGAGTTGTATGTGCCCCTAATAAAGTGATTAAAATTAAAAAAAGAAAACCCTATAGGGCAATTTTACAATGTCCAAAGGAGTGGCTCTAATTATAAACCAGAAAACCGGATGGAGCAGTTCTACTCTGCATTTGACGTGGACTTTACTGGGCAGCACCCAACAGATGTGCTTTGACTGTCATGTTGCTTAGCAGTGGTGAGGTGTTACACATTCCACGGCTAATCAAAAGATCCACCGTTGAACGCACCAGCCACTTTGGGAGAAACGCGACCTGGGAGAGCAATTTTACTCCACCCTGTCGGATCACTATGACTGTAGCAGTGGGTTTTGTTGGGTGTGGTGTTTCCTTGAATGCATATATCACAATCTCCTTTTCCACGTCCCTATTGATGGACAGTGGGTTGTTTCCAATTTTCTACTGTTACATAAAATAAATCTTTAAGTGGATCTCCTGTGCACACTGGTATGCAAAACTGTTGAAGATGCATGGTGAGTCAATGTTACTGCTTGCCAAGTTATACCAATTTATCCTATAAGTAAAGTAGTATTGAGTTCTCTTTGCTCAACATTTTCATCAATATTATTGTCAGATATTAAAAATACTTGCCACTGCGATTGGTTGAACTTTACATTTTCTAACAATTAAAAAAGTGGTGTGTCTTTCCATGTTTATTAAAGCCAATTGATTTTTGTCTTCTATAAATTGTTTGGTCTTCTTTTATAAAGTTTGCTATTGGTTTTCATTCTCTCAATGACTTGAAGATCTTTAGTCTACCTTAATATTTATCTAACTTGCAATTTTGTTTATGGTCTCAGTTCTTTTGAAACTTGCTTAATAAATTCTTCCCTATTCTGAGGTCATTGAGTTTATATTTTATTTTCATAGTTTTGTAATTTTTTACACCACCACCGCCACCACTACCCCAGATTCAGTTAGTGCTGGAAGATAGTAACACAATTTTTGTAAAAGTTTTATTGACATATAATTCACATATCATACAATAGTTCAATCATACTGAGTTGTGCAATCATTGCCACAATCAATTTTAGAACATTTATTTCTCATATTCATCATTCTTAGCTCCACCAACCTCCCTTACATAATTATTAATCCAGTTAGCGTGATATCTATATATTTGCATATCCTGAAATTAACATACAGAAAATAATACAAAAACAAAAGACAAAATAAAACAGAAAAACCTCAATTGAAAAGAAAACATCAAATATTAAGAACAGAAAAAATTTTAATAGGTCAAAAGGGAGGTTAAATGATAAAGTGCTACATTTTAACCTAACTACCTCTACCATAAACCACTTTACAATATTCTGAGAGCAAGGCTATTCCCATCCCTGAATTATCATCAAAGGGGATTTACTGAAGGCTTAATTCATATAGACCCTGCAAATGGAGTTTGAGCTTTTACTGTCATCCAAAGCCTTCTGTAAACCAGGTGTTCACAATTTAAGCTCTACTACCGTTCCCTCCTCTGGATTTTGATTGTATTTACAATCCTTGGATCATGCAGGCTGATGTGCTTCTTCCATGTATACTTAGTTGAAACCTCACTTAGATGGCTGCTTGTTTGGAGACAAGTCTAAGAGCCCAGGTGTGAGGAACAGAAGGATTTCTCTTAAGTTGTCTCCCCAAAATATATGCCAGACTTAGCTTGAGAATGACTGTTCTTTAGGCAGCGAAAATAGGTCAGAGGTTATTCTCCTTAACATCAGCCATCTAGAGCGGCCAGACTGTATAGTCTGACTCACCCCAAATAGGGCCCATTCCTTTCTGTTATTGTTCCCTTGAAGCAGTGCCCATCGGCAAGCCCGGGACCACTGTAAGATGACTAGGTCATCCCCCTCCTGTTGCTTGTATTACCTATGTTACAACCCCTCTTATGATGTAGGTTGTTAACTGCTATCAGGGGGCTTGCATGCCTCACAGGATAGTAATTGCCTGCTTTATTGTATGAGACACCAGAATGATCAAACCTGTTCAAGGATGAATTGTATTGCCCCTCTCTGTGATGCATGATGCTGTGATGTATCCCCCTAAAGTAATATGATGCGTGGTTAGCAATAAATAAGTAGGCTCCCTGGTTCTCAGAGAGGTGGCTGGCTGAGGGTGGCTGGCCGAGGGCAACTGAGGAAGGAGGGCTGCTTCCCGTGAGGGCGGCTCCGATGAGTGCGATGGACGAGAGGGTGAGGTAGGCGGCTCCTGCTCTGGCAGCCAGGTTCCCCCCACGAGGACCACCAAGCGGGGCGGAGGTGAGCAATGTTACCATGTAATATGTCTGACTGTATTATTGTATTATCTCTCATGCTCTCGATGACTTTAATATAATGCTTATATATCTTAACCGTACAATTGTACTTACTGAACTAGTAGAGAGTACTAGCGGTGGAGGCTGGTCCCCCACCTCCCTCCGCGCCACCCATTTTAATACTACACCCAGGTGCTATCCTTTCTGATAGCTGGGCACCATCTGAGCTCTCTCTCTCTCTCCTACACCTTTCAGCCTATGAGTCTATTCACTTATCTACTGTTATTGCAGGATTATGTGTACAACAGTATTCACCTGTTCCCTTAACTCTTTCACTCCTCCTGGTCTTTCCCAGACTCCATCGTTTTTATGCCATCTCCCCCTTATGGTATATTGTCCTCCCCTTCAATCAACGTAACTCTACGTGTGTCTACCTTCCAGCCAATGACTTTCCCTTCATTTCCCTCTTCTGGTAACCATCAAAGGATGTTCTTTTGAGTGTAAAACCCTTTTCTTTCTTTTCTTTTTTTAATTAAAAGATCATTTATTGGGGGCTCTTACTCTTTTGATTTTATAATAGTGGTCTCATACATTATTTGTCCTTTTGTGATTTTTTTTTACCCATAGAAGAATAAATTAATTAAAAGAAAAAAATTTTAAACATAAAGAAAAACCTGTAAATAGATCAAGGTCTGATTTTTTATCTCTAGGCGTGTCCTTCAGTCAGGTCTGATGGGGTACCATGCTCTGGCCCCAGAGTCTGTCCTTTGTACTCCCTTGAGGGCTCTCTGCTCTGCTTCCACGGTTGCTCTGCCGCCAGCTTTTTATGGTTTGCCTCAGTGTCTCAGGGTCAGTCTGGGCCAGTCCCGACACTGAGTCTCCAGTGTTGTCCCACTTAGAGCCCGGGACCATCAAGGGACGGCATGTCTCAGGGTGGGATCAGCCATATTGTCCACTTTGTCCATTGGCTGTTCAGAGCAGGGATGTCGTCCTCCAGGCCTGGTGGGTCAGGATGTGCTCCACTCTCTCTTCCTCCCCCTAAGTGCTCCCATTTGCTCTGATCAGACATGCCCCTCTCCCCTAGCTGCAGCTTCCGTGCTGTCCTCTAAAATAAATTCTTCTGGGGGGAGGGGATTGGTATTTTTAAAAAACAATTTTCTTCCTTAACATTGTTCCATTGTGTGCATATACCAAAGTTCATTCATTATTCCATTGATTGGCATTCAGGTTGTTTACTGTTTTTTTCTACTGTGAATAGTGCTGTGATGAACATGGGTGTTCATGGCTCTTATTTCTCTAGGATATATAGCTTGCAGATGGATTGCTGGGTCATATGTAATTTGTATTCCTAACTTTTTAAGGACGTGTCATACTGTTTAACACAGTAGTTGCATCATTTCCGTTCCACCAGTACTGTACGAGGGTTTCAGCCTCTCAACACCCTCATCAGTATGTGTTGTTCTCTATTTTTTTTAACTTTGCGATTAATGTGGCGCTGAGGCAACAGCTCGTTTTGATTTGCACATTTCTGATGGCTAATTACCATAAGCATTTCTTTGTTTGATGGCTACCTAAATGTCTTTTGAACTGTTCTTGTCTTCTGCCCATTTAAATTGGTTGACTTCCCTTTTTCTTGTTTCTTTTTCTTTGAGAGATTAGTTTGTCTGATGTCATTGCCAACAACAAAAAAATCCCCGTCTATAGGTTCTCTTGAAATTTTTTGATGTTCCTACTAATTTTGGGAGGTCTCACTTATCTAATTTGTCTTCTGCTGTTTGTGTACTTCCAGTTGTTTGATAGTGTGTTGGGCCCCTGAATTCATCCACCACTCCAGCCCCTAGTCTGACCTGCTGACCTGGGATACCTTCAACTCTGCAGCCACCAGCCAGTGATGTTCCTGCTGATCTTGCCTTTATCTGCCTGGAGCTACAGAGGCCAGGAAAAGCCTTCGGCTTGGAACAGGACTACTGGACTTAACTATAACTGTGTGAGCCATTTTCTTAATAAATTTCAGTCTTCCTCTTCTCCTGCCCTTTTCTCTATCTCTCCACACACACCGTTTGAGAGAAGCCAGCCTAACACACCTAATCCAGAAATAATCTATGCAGGCTCAGAGGGTGGCTGAGGTCAAGGTGCTTGTTCCTAGAATAAACTCTTTGGGGCCTATAAGGCTGCTAGGGGCAGGGTCAGATGATTATGCCTGCTCAGGAGTGGCCAGGGACCCTGCATTGCATGCCTTGTTGGTTGGTTTGATTTGGCTGCATTCATGTGCCTCCAGACACAAGGGTGGTGTACCAGAAGCCTGATCCACGAGGGCTCGACTCCAACTTCAGTCAATGACTGTGTGGTGTGTGCGTGTGTGTTGGGAGGGTGGGGGCTCTGTCACTGGCCCCCACCCTCTGAGTAGGTAAGGATGGGGACTGCTCGTGCTTATGGTTACCAGGATGATACCTGGAACAAGGGGGAATCATATCTAGAGAAATAAAATAATAAATATGGGCTTCTTAAATTGGCTCTCCAGCCTGATTAGTCTTAACACTAGTAATGCTACTTCAACACCCCACTCCTGGTACCAAAATGTGTTAGACAGGGTTCTCTAGAGAGATAAAACCAGATTGCTGATAATATTATATATTTATTTATAAAGTTAGATATATAACACAAGAAATGAACAGTTAAATTATAAAGCAGTACAAATGGCTCAGTGCAACTCACTCCGTGAGAGAGTTGTGAGACACTAGCAGTCCCTCAAGTCTTGAGGGCTGCCAGGTCTTTCTCTGTCGAGAGAAAGAGCTAGGTTATATCAGCACAGCAGCAAATAGCAAGGCAGGTCACCAACTGTCAGCCAGGTCACCAACTGTCAGTCCCCAGCTCCAAAGTTGTAAATTTCAATCGTGTGGTCTTAAAGGGACCTCAACTTACAGCGACAGTCCACAGGCTAGGCGTCTCACAGGTAGTGTAGCCTGTAAATTGAGGCACAGAACAAGAAAGGCAGCCCCATACTGGTCCGATGATCAAAGAGCAAGAGACAAGAAAGGCGAGGCTCACAGAGCCATTTATCTCTCCGCCCTTCAATTAATCCCACTTGTGTTTATTGGCCAGGCTGGCACACTATCTCAACCCATATCTTTGTTTTAGAGTATCTATATATCATATCCATGTAGTACATTATCTTGTTGGAAGTTGAGTCATACTTCCATTAGATCTATCTAAAATCATAGCCCCTTCATTCTTGGCCCGCTGTAAATCCTTTTCCTTTATCTGAAAAGCAAATGACTCAGCAGATTATGAGAAAAAAACACCACTAAAAAAGCAAAGGATTTGTATGTGTCATTTATTCTGGGAGGAGCTGACAAAACTAACTCAAGAACATCTGTCAGTCTTTAACAGTAATACTTTACATCCCCAGAAGAAAAGATTATTTTTTGGAAGTTGCCAAAGGCCTGGGAACCTAGGGAAGAATTTCTCAAGAATAACCCACAAAACTCCCACGCATCTAAAAAATTATATGCACATTTTTAAAAAAAAAGCATCTTTTCCTTACATTTAGAATTACTCCCATTTTTGTGTTGCTTTTTAAAAAATCATTTTATTAGGGATTCATACAACTCTTATCACAATCTATACACACATCAATTGTATAAAGCACATTCGTACATTCATTGTCCTCATCATTCTCAAAACATTTCCTCTCCACCTAAGCTGCTGGCATCAGCTCATTTTCCCCCCTCCCTCCCTGCTCCCCACTCCCTCATGAACCCGATAATTCATAAATCATTAATTTGTCATTTTTGTGTTTTAAGATTGCTTTCTTTATCATCTGTAAAAATATACCTCACATTAATAATTTCTTTACGTAGATTACTTCAAGAGTTATCACCAGCATGCTTTTCTAAACAATTTAGATGATTCGAATTCTAAACAGTGCCAGGAAAACACATTGTTATTGGTGTCTCTCAATGTTTTCAAGAAGAATCCAGACAACTTTAAGATTTTCTAATGTCCCTTTAAAAAGAGAGCAAGAGAAAAATAAATGTCAAAAATATGGTAAATTTGCTTTCCATTTCTAGAGGCAAAAGAATCTCTACTTAGATATGAGCATTTCTAATTTTTATACATAATTTTGTCTATTTGACCTTAAGGTCACATAGCTAACATTCCAAAAATCTGAACTTTTTAAAACATAGGAGAAAACAGTATGTACAGGGGCAAAGAAGATTCTGATATCAAATGAAATAAAATGTACATGATTAAAAAGCTCTCATTTCTATATAAAGTATTCTATCTATATCACAAATTAACAAAAGTGTAGTTTCCAAGTGATTTATCTTTTCACATTTTGAATGTCGATAACCAAATGTCGATAACCAAAACCAACAGACATGACAAGGGTAGCACATATCATTAGCAAGCTCCTTTTGATACTATTAAATGTCAGTTTATATTTTTCTTGTCTGTGACCCCAAAACAGGCAGCATTTTCATTTCATCCACTCTATTCTTGTGTATTTGAAAAGCAGGTGTTATCCATCTACCACAGGAGCACTGTTCACCATACCAGTTGAAGGAACCCAACTTGGCAGTGCATTTTGGGCAAAGAAGCTGGAATAGAGCAAATGTGTTACTTCATTCATTCACAGTTATATAAAGCAAATAATACCACTTGGCACTATATAACATATAAACAGGTAAGATATGGCTCACATCTCCAAGGATTTTACAATCTAATCAGTGACCCAAAATGCAGCTTCAATTTCCTGTAATACAGTCAACTACAACAATCATGTAAGAGGCACACTGTACTTAAGAGTTTGGAGGAACAAGAAATTAATTGTGGGGGGAGGTCAGATGCACAGGCATTGCCCCCCTGAGGGCAATCAGTTGCCAAACTGCAGTGGGCCCTGCTCCCTGCCACTGGGGAGAATGGACAGGCTCCTGTGGGCGGAGTTCACATCCTACTGATAATGGTCTCTCTCAGTTGGATGTCCCTGGACCACCCCATTACTGTGTAACCTATAGTGTAGTCCCTTCCTGTGATGTATGTCTTTACCTGTAATTGGTGGGCGTGCACACCCCCAAAGGGATATAAGCATGGGTCAGCGAGAGAGACGCTCTCCTTGCTGGGCACTCCCTGGTCGCTCCCCTCTCTTCCCCCTCTCCTCTCCCATCCTCTCTCCCTTGTTCCCTTGCCCTCCTTCCCTTCCCCCTCTCCACGTGGACCACCAAGCTGGGTTGAGGTGAGCAATGCTACCATGTAATGTGTCTGACTGCATCATTGTAATATCTCATATGCTCTCGATGACTTTAATATATAAATATCAACTGTACAATTGTGCATTACTGAACCCATGGGTAGTATTAGTAGTAGCAGCAGGTAGGGGCAGGCACACCCCACCCCCCAATTGCCATTTTAATTTAATACTACAATTAATTCTAGTTTGAAGGAAAAAAGGTAAAGCGTGAGTGATAATTAAGAAAGAGTTCATAGGTATGGTATGTGTGTATAGCTTTTTTTTTTTTTAAACCTTTTATTAGGGGCTCATACAACTGTTATCGCAATCCATACACATATCAATTGTGTAAAGCGCATTTGTACATCATTCTCAAAACATTTTCTCTCCACTTAAACACCCGTCATTAGGTCCTCATTTTTCCCCTCCCTCCCCGCTCCCCGCTCCCTATAGCTTTTTAAATAGGTCTGTAATTTTAGAGTTCAAATTAAAATCATCAGGGCTAAATGAAAGAAAAGCATGTTAGGATTTGTTCAACGTTTCATGCTGATAGCACATATTCATCTCAGATTCCTAGCTACTTAGAAACAAAACAGCAAAAGGATACTCGAACAAAACAGATCTATCTTCCAAAACTTAACAATTCCTGCTCAGTGTGGCATTTTTATCTTTATATTGCAATTATTGTGTCCTTACTTCATTTCGTTTCTGTTCGTCATTGTTTCTGTTGGGCTTAACAGTTTATGAAACACAGAAGGAGTGAATGCACAGAGATAATAACTGATGCGAGGATGTGTAGGGGTTGTAGGGTGGGTAGGGGAGAGATGGGAAGGGTGAGGGGATTTAGGGAATAAACAGTGAAGGGAGCGGGAGCACTAGAACTGAATATGGTTACTCAGCATATTTTAAAGGTGATTCAGTCATGGGGGAAAATGCTCTAAAATTGATTGTGGTAATAATTGTACAATTCCTTGTGACACGACTGAACGATTGAATCGCATGATGTGGATTATGTGCCAACAAAACTGGGGGGGGGGGACTCAATAAGCCTATCTCTAATTAATTCGTAGCATTGATTTTTACAGTTAGTTCTTTCAGTGGCTCAAACCCACCAGCCCCTCCTCTGGAGAAAGATAAGGCTGTCCGCTCCTGAACCTGAAAAGATTTCCAAAGCCATGAGCCAAAATGGACTCAACAGCACTGGGTTTTATACTCTATAGAAAAACTCAAGAACTTATGTGTAGTATCAAATTAAAAATGTCGCGGGGGAGGGGAGTGCCAGCCCCACCCGCTACTAGAACTCACTGGTTCAATACTACTACTTCTGGGTTCAGTAATGCACAATTGTATGGTTGAGATATATAAGTATTATATTAAAGTCCTCAAGAGCATGAGAGATATTACAATAATGCAGTCAGACACATTACATAGTAGCATTGCTCACCTCAGCCCAGCTTGGTGGTCCACGTGGAGAGAGGGGGAAGGGAAGGAAGGCAAGGGAACAAGGGAGAGGGGGAAGAGAGGGGAGCCAGAGATCAGAGAGCTCTATATCGCTGACTCACGCCTGTATATACCTTTTGGGGGCAAGCCAGCCCACTAATTACAGGTAGAGACATACGTCACAGGGAGGAGTTGCACTATAGGTTACACAGCAATGAGAGGCTGGTCTCTGAGTCTCCATAGGAACTATCAGTAGGGTGAAAACTCCTCCTACAGGAGCCTGTCCATTGTCCCCAGAGGCAGGGAGCAGGCCCACCCCTGTGGTGGGATGAGACAGCAGTCTGGCAACTGATTGCCGTCGGGGAGGGAATGCCTGCGCATCTGACCTCCCCCCACACTTATGCAAATAATGAGATCTTGGAGTGATCACAAAATAATGCTTTTATAATGAGCATGTGTGTTTTCCAGATTAAATATAAGCAGGAGGCCTACAGCACAAACAACAGAAGAGAAACAGGAGGGACATCATCAAAATGCAGAGCTAGTGATGCTAACACTGCCATCAAGGTGCCAGCAAGAATAAAAGGAAAATTATGGAAGAAAATATTTGTCTGAACTGAAACCTCTATACAGAATATATAAAAAATACTTACATTCTTATAGAGGTCTAAATACAAGCATGTACATATGTATATGTAAATATATTTATATATGACAATTGGGAAATAGATCTATGTGCACATATTTTATAGGTTTAGTATTAAGGTAGCAGATGGACATTGGGTCTCTACCCAAGTACTCCCTCAATGCAAGAACACTTTGTTCTATTAACCTGGCATTCCTTGATGCTCACCTTCCGGACACTATTGCTGAAGACAATGTGGGTGCATAAGCAAATGTGCTGAAGAAAGCTAATGGTGCCTGGCAATCAAAAGATATAGCATCTGGGGTCTTAAAGGCTTGAAGATAAAGAAGCAGCCATCTAGCTGGGAAGAAACAAAGCCCACATGGAAGAAGCACACCACTCTGTGTGATCATGAGGTGTAGATGGGATCAGGTATGAGTCATCAAAGACCCAGAACAAAAAATCAAATCAATGTGAATGAGGGAGAGTGTGGAGTGGAGACCCAATTCCTATCTATAGACAATTGGACATCCCCTTACAGAAGGGTCACAAGAGACAAGCCAATCAGGGTGCAGTATAGCACCAATGAAACATACAACTCTCTTCTAGTTCTTTAATACTCCCTCCTGACCCCACTATCACGACCCCAATTCTACCTTAAAAATCCAGCTAGACCAAAGCTTGTACATGGGTACAGATAAGAGCTGGAAACATAGGGAATATAAGACAGATAACCCCCTCAGGACCAATAATGAGAGTATCGATACCAGGAGGGGAAAGGGAAGGTGGGGGACAATGGGGGAGCTGATCACAATGATCTACATAATGATCTCTCTGGGGGACGGACAACAGAAAAATGGGTGAAGGGAGACATCGAACAGTGTAAGACATGAAAAATTAACAATTTATAAATGTCAAGGGCTTGTGAGGAAGGGAGGAGAAAAAATGAACTGATACCAAGGGTTCAAACAGAAAGAAAATGTTTTGGGAATGATGAGGGCAACAAATGTACAAATGTGCTTGACACAATAGATGTATGTATGGATTGTATAAGAGTTGTATAAGACCCCAATAAAATGATCTTTAAAAAAATACTTATATTCAGCCAAAAAATATTATCCAACTGAAAAATGAGCAAAGGATCTGAACAGACATTTCTCCAAAGATGGTATGAAGCATATGAAAACATCTCAACATCATTAGTCAGCATAAAATGCAAGTCAAGCCACAATGAGATGCCACTCCACACCAACGATGAAGGCAAGAATCTAAAAGATTGCTGGTGCCATGAAACTGGTTTTTCAATTAAAAAAATTCTTCATAAAATATATACCTGTGTGATCGTCATCAGTGTCCTTTGAGAAATCTATCAAGATGAACCCTTGGGAATCCAAAAAAACCCAGTCACCATAACCATCTAAATTAGCCTTTCTGACTTGATTTGAATTAACCCAGCAGATCTGCTTCAAGCTGTTTTGACTGAATTTTTAAAAAAATATTTTTCTTAAAGACACCTTATGAGTCGGCATAGACTCAATGGCAGTGAGTTTGGGGTTGGGTTACTGAAACTAAGACGGGTGTAATACTGAGAGAGCTTGTCTGCAACCATCCACCAGTCACAAAGACATGTATGGAATAAAGCTGTGTATGTAAAAACTGGAACCCTACTAGGATATTTTTTTACTTCCTTTCATATCTTTAGTCTTATACTTGAAACGCATGGATTTAAAATGAAAGAAGGAACAACATATAGTTGATATAATAAAAAAGATGGAAAATAAATGTGTTCTTACCTGCCCATCCATCACTCCCAACAAAGTAGATTCCATCCACTGTACAGGTTCAATGAAGTAAGATGTACACTGAGCCTGACTCCCTGTTGTAAGGATGAAAGATGGCGTCGTTCTCTTGTGAGCAAAGGCTATGGGACCAATTCCTTCATTATGATCCAGAATACTAGAACTTCTAAATAAGGAACGCCTGCAATCCCCAAGCAAACACAGAATATTAATTACTCCCCCGAAGGATGAATAAGTAAATGAAATGTATAGTATTTCTTAGAAGTCAAAATAACACAATGATTGTTACTTTTATTCTCAACAATCCCTGAAGCTTGATTGCTTTTTACTTAAATTTACACTTTTTTGAAAGCAGATTTAACTTGAAATCTTTTATCCAGTAAAGCAAATTCTTTTTTTTTTTTTTTTTTTTTTTAAAGATCACGAAGGTTTACTTGAAAATCACAGTGTCTCAGCAGCCCACCCTGTCACCCAACATTCTGTAAGGGGCCTCAGGCTCGGCAACCAGAGGGGAGCAGGGCTGCATTCTTGGGGGTCTGCCGGCCCCACAACTTCTCTTCCCCAAAGGAGACTGGGCTCTCAGGAGCTTGCTGGGACAGGGTCTGTGGCCCCTACCACTGTCGCCTGCCGCCTTAAGCAAATTCTTCCAAGAGAGATTAAAGAATCTGAAACTTTTTCAGTTACTGCAACAAAGTAAGATTTTCTGAAATCCAAGTAGAGTACCTGCACTTTCTACATTTGTAGAGAACCTCATCTTTCGATCCTTGTGAAATGGTGGTTGGGTCAACAGCAAAGAGTTCTTGAGGTAAACTCTGCAATTCTACGACAAAATGAAAACATATCTGTCAAAACCAACGTCTGCATTTTTAGACAAAATCCAGATAATGCCAAACTGAGGCAGTAAGTCCTAACCTCTAACCTCTGTCTTCGGATACAAAAGAGACCCCAATCTCAAATATAGTTTAAGGAGAACGCTTATTAAGTCCTAAACGGGACAAACAGGCATGATCTGGATGAGAGACACCATTAGCATGAGGCCAACATGCCGCCCAAGGATTTTATAGTCAGGAAAACTATCATTAAGTTGATGCCAATACACAGTGATCCTATAGGATCCTGTAGGAGTGCCCCTGTGGGTGTCCGAGACTATAATTCTTTATAGGAGTAGAAAGCCCCATCTTTCTCTTGAGGAGTGACTAGTAGTTTTGAACTGCTGGCCTTGAGATTAGCTGTCCAACATGTAACCACTATACCACGGGGCTCCTTATACAGGAAGCTAGTTAAATATGGTATGCAAAAAAGGAAATGGTCACAAATTCGTGACTGGTGACAGGTCCATACACCAGTTACAGATAGGACTACCGAAGTGGGACCAGGACCATGACTGAGGAACGTTCATTATGTTAGCTAGAAGAGCGCCGATAGGACCAGGGCCTTTAGATCAAGGCAGTCAGGGCATGACTCATGATTGCGTGATCCCAGTACTAGCGGTCCATCAAAGACACACTCAGGCAAGTCCCTAAGAGCGATCACCTCTCCCTGGAATCTACAAGCATTTTGCCTGAGGGCAAAGACAATGTACAATCTTGGTTAATGATCAGAAGGAATTCAATGGAGGTTTAACCTAGTGCAGACTGAGCAAATGGATTTTGAGTTTTTACTGTCAAACAAGGTACTCAGAATTTAAGTTATAATAAACCTCAGAAATTAAAAATCAGCAATCAGGATGATGTAGGAGAACAGTGATTGAGTTCTGGGCACAGAACGCTGAACTCAAATCTCAGCACTGCCACTTTCAAAACATGTCACCTTGAACAAGTTTTTTGTTTCTAAGCTGCAGTTTCAAAAGAAACCATCAATACTTGCTTCCAAGGGCTCGTTGGAAAAGCTAAGTAAGACCATGAATTCTCATGTGCCGGGGTAAATGGCATACCGAAAGGACACAATACACATCAACAACTGATAGTACCTGGATACTTCTCTGTAACCTTCTGTAAACGATACTGCTTATATATGGCACTAGAGGTATCCACTTCATATCCCATTGCTTGGTATAGTTTCAGTTGCCACTCAAACCCCTCATTCATCCTATAATAAAGAATATAAAGCTCATTTTTCTTTAAATACAATCATATCATTGAAGCAGAATCATTACCATAGCAAAGAACTCACTTAGCCTCTGGTTTGACAGTCTGAAGGTCTGCATAGGCCTTTTCAAAGGTAAGTTGGTCAGTCTTCATCAGAAAAGCAGTCACTACAGCGACACTTCGACTAATTCCTGAATGGCTGAAAAAGAGACCTTTAAAATAAAACAGCAAACAGTAACAATTAAAAAACAACCCAGCCCCTGACTAGCGGAAAAGTCTGGTCCACTGCGTGTGTGCTCCTGCTTGCACGCAAATAAGCAAATAAACCTTTTCATCTCTGAAATGCTACCAATGTACAAAGGAATAAAAGTTGCCTTTAAAAAGGTACACACACATGTGATTTATCTTCCTCATGTTCAAATTAGTTACTTTCAGCAACTAATATGAGGTAGGCACTGTGCTAGGCACTGGAGAAAGACAACACCAAAATGTTAAATTTGAAGGGGTAAGTCATTCATTGACTAAATATTTATTGAGCTGTGATTATATGCCAAGCCCAGTTCAAAAATGGGGAACAGACAATGAGCAAAGCACCCAAACCCCCGGCTCTCACGGAGTCTCTTCACCAATGAGAAGGGATTGACCAAAAAGGGAGTATTTGGTAACACAACCTATCAGAGTATGCAACCTCAAGTGAACAGGAAAAGCAATATGAAAGATTTCTATGCCATGCTTATAGAAGTAGCAGCTATGAAATCAAACGCTGTTTTACACCAGCCAAATCCGCTGCACAAGATCTCGTTAAAGTGTTGAAGAGCGTGGATGTCACTTTCAGGACTCCGGTGATGCTGACCCAAGCCCTGTATTTTCAATCGCCTCATAAGCATGTGAAAGTTGGACACTGAATACGGAAAAGTAAAGAATTGATGCATTTGAATTATGATGTTGGCAAAGAATCTTGAAAGTACCATGAACTACCACAAGAACCAACAATTGTGTCCTGGAAGAATTACAGCCTGAATGCAACTAGTGTGAAAGGTGAAACTTCGTCTCCCAGGCTTAGGACATGTTCTAAGAGACTAGACCCTGGAAAAGGACTTGGGAAAGTAGAACAGCACTGTAGTAAAAGAGGAAGCCCTTTGGTGATAAGGAGTGATACAGTGGCTACAACAATGGGCTCAAGTATAATAATTGTGAAGATGGCCCAGGTCTGGATAGTGTTTTGTTCTGTTGTAAAGAGGGTCACTGTGTGTCAGAACTGACTTGATGTGACCAAGAACAGTAAAAAGGACAATGATCATATCCTCCAAAATTCTCTAATAGAGTAAAAAAAAAAAACAACCAAAAACCTGAGCCTTATAAAAATTCCTTATGCTAAGAGTAGGGATTGCCAATAGGCAGTGAGCCTAATCTAAGGCTGGTACTCTATCTACATGCACCATTAAGATGGCACAATGTGGAGGGGGGAGCAGGGAGGGAGGGGGAAAATGAGGAGCTGATATTAAGGGCTCAAGTAGAAACCAAGTTTTTGAGAATGATGCTGGCAACAAATGTATAAATGTGCTTGACACAATGGATGGATGAATGGCTTGTGATAAGAACTGTATAAGCCAATAAAATGATTTTTTAAAAAGATGGTACAATGCCTATTCTCAAAAGCTCGTTTTTTGTATTAAAAGATCATTTTACTGGGGGCTCTTACAACTTTAATAATCCATACATCAATTATATCAGGCAAATTTGTACATATGTTGTCATCATTCTTTTCTGGACATTTACTTTTTTTTCCTCCCTCCCCGCTCCCCCCTCCCTCATGAACCCTTGATAATTTATAAATTATTATTTTGTGATATCTTGCCCTGTCCCACATCTCCCTTCACCCACTTTTCTGTTGTCCGTCCCCCAGGGAGGTGGTCACATGTAGATCCTTGTCATTGGTTTCCCCTTTCCAACCCACCCTCCTTCTACCCTCCCAGTTATCACCACTCTCACCACTGGTCCTGAAGGGACCATCCGCCATGGATTCCCTGTGTTTCCAGTTCCTATCTGTACCAGTGTACATCCTCTGGTCTAGCCAGACTTGCAAGGTAGAATTGGGATCATGATAGTGGCGGGGGGCGGGGGGATTTAGGAACTAGAGGCTTAAAATATAGCCTAGCAAATAGAAATAAAATAAAACAATCTAGAAAATGGCAACACTCCTTGTTAGCTTGCTCACCATTGAACACCTAGATGACAGAAACAAAATGTAGCAATGTTGTTAAAGGAAGGACACTTATTTAAATAGAAAATAGAGTGCCACTATTCAAAATGAGAAATTCACATTTCTGTCGTTGTTCAACAAGCCTAACTGCTTAATGAAAAGAAGTGTGGGCTCTAGACCCTGGAAGGGTGGTGGTGGTAAATTATGTCTGTGAATTCCTTCGCATTTCTGCCTTCAAAAATGGAGTCTAATTTCTCTCCCTTTAAATGTGGACCAGACTTGGGGAAGTCTTGTAATGAACAGCCTGTGGCAGAAATGATGCTAATTGACTTCCAAGGTACAGTATAGACAAGCCACGAGAACAACAGCTCCTACCTCTACGATGTACTTGCTGCTCAACAGGGGTGTGTGGGGGTGGTGGGAGGAGGCTGAAACCATGTCATGAGCACACGTAAGCAGAATAGACAAAAATAAAGGCGAGAATAAAATGACTGCCATCAAGTTGATTACAACTCATATTAACCCGTGTGCAGAGTAGAGCTACTCCACGGGGCTTTTCAATACTGTCACTCACCTCTTCTCCCATGAATTGATTCTACCACTTAAAACCCCCTTTACCATAAATGTACTTCTTACCTATTGGATGAGCAAAGATCAAAAGATGTGAATTCATTGATTAAAAAGGTTGTAGAAGAATGAGGACTTTATACACTGCAAGTGTCAACAACGATCAAAATCACCAGCCATTCCTCTGGAGAAAAACGGGACGTTCTACTCCAGTAAAAAGTTACAGACTCAGAAACTTATAGGGGCTGTTCCACCCTGCCCTATAGGGTCACTATGGGTCGGCACTGACTCAGTGGCAGTGAGTTTGGTTTGAGTTTATCCAAAATTAGATGACACAACCTTGCTTGCTGACAGCCAAGAGGCCTTGATCAAGGACTACAGCCTTCAGCATGAACTACAACTCAAAAGAAAGAAAAATCTTCACAATTGGACCAATGAGCAACATCATGAAACACAGAGAAATGACAGGCGTTGTTAAAGATCTCATTTTACTTGGATCCACATCAATACCCACATTATATAAAGTTTATTGTGCCAACCTGGCCGTTAAACACGTGGGGTTAATTGAGGGGCAGAGAGATAAATGGCTCAGTGAGCCTCACCTTTCTAGTTCTCGAGTCTCTTGCTTTGTGATGGTTGCACCAGGGTGCAGTTGCTTTAGTGAGTTCCCTGCTTCAGCTGGCAAGGCTCACTTCCTGCAAGACATCCCCGAGAAGCCTCAAGCACCTACCCCAATGCAGCCCTGGGTGCTGGAATAGTTGTGTGGAGACCCTTGCCAGTGCTGAGATGCTTACACGTTAAGATTCAACAGGCGGCCTCATTGCATGTGTTTTGTGAGATGGAGGAGGACTTTGTGGATTGGTGTTGGGCTATGGGTTAATGTTGGCTTTGTGGGCTTGGGCAGCACTGGGTTGGGATGTTTTCTTCATGTGCAATTACCCTTTATATAAAACTCTCATACATGAGTGTCTGTGGATTTGTTGCTGCCTTTGAATTATAGTGTTGGTGAAGAACAAGAAATACACCACGGACTTCCAGAAGGATGACAACATCTGTTTGGGGGGTAAGAACCGTGGCGATGTTCCTTACAAGCCATGTACTTTGGGCACGTTACCGGAGCAGTCCCTGTGTTTAAGTCAATAAAAAGCATGCCGATGGGCTGGCCTGACGGCCGCAGCAGAGAATCCAAACTCGGCAACATTGGGGAGAAGGGCGCGGGCCGGACGGCGTCAGTGCCGTTGTGCCGTTGTGCGTAAGGACGCTGTGTGCAATGACGACACCAGTCCAGGCCGACCGTACCACCACCCGTCGTGCCCCCGCTTCGCTACCGCGCTAGCCGACGGGCGCGGGGCGGGCGCCTCGAAGATGCCCAGGGGGCCTCAAGGGAGGGGCCCGGGAGCGCGGCCCGGGATGCTCGCCCAGCCACTCACCAGTGCACCAACACCGAGCGACCCTGCGCTCGGGCCTGGCCTATGAAGGCCACGCAGCGGTCCAGGTGACTGAGCAGGTCGGTCTCGGGCTTGTCCAGCGCCGCCACGAAGAGGCACCGCATCCCCTCCCCGTGCGCCCCGGTCTTGAAGGCGGGTTCCTCCGAGTCCACGGTCAGCACAGCTGTGATGCCGGCCTCCTTCAGCTGCTGCGGCTCCGCCACGGCCGCCGCCCCACCCAGGTAAACCCCGGGCCGCACTTGCAGCATCTGCGGGGCAGCGGCGGCCTGGCTCGCGCCCCCGCTCCCACGCTCACTGCCATAGCGCCGGTCCCGAGCTTCCAACATGGCGGCGCCCAGAGGCCTGGAGGCCGTGGGTCTTACCATCGAGTAGGCGGGCGGCTAGAACGTCCTTCCTCTGGGACTCGCCAAGGTCCACGGCGCAGCGCCGCCCACCTCAGCGGAGGACGAACTCTGTTAATGTGCACGTGCAGGGGAAGGTGATAGAATACTGCCATTGCAGCTGAGCTAAGCCTCTTTCAGTGTGGCTTTTAGGGTTCTTCTCCCCTAACTTAGTAGAAAGTAAACTTCTCCACTACAGAATTTTTCAGGCTTTTAGTGTTGAGATTTTTCAGGGAAAGGATACTACCTGGATCATCTACGCTCAGTTTTAAAATTAAAATCTCACCATCAGAATCAGCAACTTTTTATATAGTGCACTAGAAGGCAAACTTTTTTTTACATCTCTTCTGTCCCGCCCCCCCCCCCTGTTTTTGTCCCAGTTTTGTATTGGGATGCGCTAAAGTGAATTTCTTCTAGCTATCCTCTTTTCTACTCCAATAAAGAGCTACAGTGTCGGAAACCCACAGGGACCGTTGGTGTCCAAGCAGAACTGAAGCCAGGCTAAGGACCAGCGAGAGAGAGACCTGCCAGTGGACATGTCTGAGGAGAGTATCCTGACGAAAAACTGTAACCTGAGTCATTGTTGAACCTGAATTGTAACCTGTTACTTCTCTTATCAATTCCACAGCTGTGAGTATGGTCTGTGATTTTGTATGGCGCTGAAATGACTTAGCAAGCTCTGCAGGAAAATATAGAGAGTGCCATGGAAGAGATGGTTGCTGTCAGAATTGACTAACTAGAATCAGCATTGGCCTGTGGCTCTTGACTCTCCTTCCCCCTATCAGAGTTACAAGAGGTCAGATACCATGCTCCCCAGGACATTTTTACAGATGTTAACCCCTTTCTTGTCCAAGTTTACGGTTTTTATATTTTGAAGCTATCAGTTCTATCTTTTCTGTCAGTTCCCTCCTGCAACAGACCACCAGGAATTCACAGGTTGAGTTTATTACACAACCGAGAACGTGGAAAACCTACATAGGATTTGCACTTCTGTTGGATGAGTGTGTAGGCATATGGTTAATATTTTGTGTCTTGGAAGGGTGTTCATGTCTTAGCTGAGTTCAGTCATGATTACGGATGCTCTCATTTTCATTTTGTTCTGTTGTGATCACAGAGGCCTTGTCCAGGGCTGATCTTTTGTGAAGTGGTTCATTAGGAGAATGACCAATCCCCTCATTGGTGTTTTATACACCTATTTCCATTATCCCACCCAACCATTTGGTAGAAGCTAGAGACAAGGATTGAAGAGTCAGATTGAAGCAATTTCATTACACTATCATGTCAAATACCATAGTAGATACCATAAGGAACTTGCAGACAAGTTGGAGAGGAAGACAGGTAAGTGACCTCTTCAGTGTTGCTATGGAGGCAGGGACGAGGCTCTAAGAAAGTGCATGGGGACATCTAACCCAAATGGAAGAGAGAAAATTAGGGACAACCTGCAGAAACACCCAGAAGAGATCATGCTTGACCTGAGTTTGGATGGATGGCAACTTACCACACAAAAAGGAAAGGCGAGGAAGAGAAATTCTAAGCAGAAGAAACAACATCAGGCAGAAACAAAGGCAGGAATGGCAGTCGACCAGAATATGAGTGGGTTGTTGGAGAAGAAAGGGAGATGGGGATGATGTCATGTGGATTGGAAAGATAGGCATGACCAGATCAAGAGAACAATGCATGCCTTGATCAGAAGTTGCTGACTAGCTTTTCCTAGACTACGTAAAAAAGCATCAACAGTAAAATAACACAATTTGATTTACATTTTTGAAAATCCATGCTGACTACAATGTGGGGAATGTATTAAAGATGTGGGGAACTAGCTACATGATGAAATTTTAGTTTTAAGCTAGTTTGCAAATAGAAAGCATTTTAAGTTCATTGACTTAATGTATATATAATAGAAAATATTGAAATTTATATGCCAAACTGTTACAAGTGCATATTTCTAAGAGCTCACATTCTGAAGAAGACTTGCTTGATAGGTATTGGACACTTCTGTGTTGTAAATTTTATTTATTTCAATAAATATGGATTAAAGGTAACCCTATTGGAATTATTGTTTAGATGTTTCTATTCTAGGGGGGAAACCCAAAATTATTAAGGGTACATATCCTGGACATCTCATTAAGGTATTCTAATTATTCACTTAGTGTTATTAATTTTCTGTTGGAGATGAACTTTTCCTCTATTTTCCATCATGACTGTAAGCTCCTTGATAGGAGGGACATGAAGGACACATATGACAGGGCTTCAAGAAGTTCGTGGGAAAAGATGAGGGGGGCAGGTAATGGAAGATGAGTGGTGGCTGTATTTGAGGTGCATTGGCTAGAAACCAAACCAAGTGCTTTTCCACACAGAAAGTGTGGGAAACAGAAGGATTTTTCCCAAGTTGTCTCCCCCAAATACACGCCAGACTTAGCTGCTTGCAAATGACTGTACACTTGGAGGTCATCAGGAGTAGATCAGGGGTTCTTCTCCCTAAGAGCTATCAGCCATCTAGACCAAGCAGACACCACTGTTTGTTCCACAACAAGCAGGGCCCACTCCCTTCTGATAAGGATAGTAGTTGTCTGTTTCTTGGAGGAGACCCCAGAGAGGTCATACCCGCCCAAGGATGACCAAGGTGCCATCATGAATCTAGGGTCCGCCCATCTTATACCCCTAGACCTTCCCATTCCTACGGGCACACCTATAGCTTATCCTCTTCCTGTCATGCTTATGCCTATCATACATCCCCTTCCTGTGACGTGTGGTTACCTGTAATGATGCCCCCCTAAGGAGATATAACCCTTGGTTAGCAATAAAGTTGGGGCTCTCCTGCTCTCGCTCCCAGGGGCTCTCTCCTGCTCTCACAGCTGGGCTACCCCCACGAGGATCACCAGGCGGGGCTGAGGTGAGTATGCAGCCATAAATTGTGTCTGACTCCATTGTTCCAATCTCTCCTCTAGCTCTCATGCTCCCCATGACTTTACTATAATTTTTACTTATCATCGCCTGTACAATTGCTCCTACCGGACCTGTGATGATTTGTGGGGGACCCTCCCCACCCCACAAGAAGGCAAGAATTCTACCACTGAACCACCAGTGCCTGCAGTATTTATTTATTATGTTAGGTGCTGTCAAGTCAGTTCCAACTGCTAGCAACCCTATTTCCCACGGTATGAACCACGGCCGGCCCTGTTCCGGCCCCACAACGGTTGTTCTATTTGAGCCTAGGGTGGTGGCCATCGTGTCCATCCCTTCGAAGGTCTTCCTCTTTCACTGACCCTCTGCTTTACCAAGTATGCTGGTTTCCAGATCCCTCCTGATAACGTCCAAAGTGGATGTGACAAAGTCTAGTCATCCTCACTTCTAAGGAACGTTCTAGTTGTAGTTCTTCCAAGGCAGGTTCATGGTACTTTCAAAATTGTTCTCCAACACCATCATCAAACCAAATGCATCAGTCCTTCTGTAATTGTCCTTCGTCATTATCCAATGTTCATATCCATATTAGGGGGTTGAGAATGCCTGGGCTTGGGTCAAGTGTACATTCTCAAAGTGTCATCTCGGCTCTTTAACACTAGAGGGATCTCATGCCACAGCTTTCTATCAGTAGAGGCTGCTGTGTCTATGAGGCAAAAGAGTGGAGCTTTTAGGCTAGCACAGATCAGAAAGAAAGGGCTGGTGATTGACTTCTGAAAACCCTATGGATCACAGCAGTCCAGTCTACATCCAGTTGTGGGGGTGATGCGGCAAGGCAGCAAAGCGTTGCTTCCTTGTGCATGGGATGCCATCCGTCGGGCCTGGTAGACAGCAGCTAACAGCAACAAACCAATGGTACAGTCCTCTTTTTCTCCAGTTTACCGTGGAGGAGTGTTTTAACTGAGGGGTGGAGAAGGCTTGGTGGATCCGAGGGAATGTGAGAACAACATGAGGAATCCAACCCACTGTTGTCTGAGGTCCTTTAGGAATTGTACTGTGTCCATTACTGTATCCTTGCACACAGTAGGGGCTCATGTAATGTACAAATGTGATTGGGCTGATGCAAAATGCTAGCTGTTTTGCCATGTGTAGACCTCGAAGATATGTTGGGGAAGAACTGGGAGAGAGACCAGGCTTTCTTCCTGGCTAATCCACACACTGGCTGTGTGGCCTTGGGAAAACCCTACCACTTCTCTGGAGCTCAGCATCCGCTCTTCAAAGTAAGAAACACAGCAAGTACTCCACACCATTCCAGCATTGAGACACTGGAGTTAAGGTTGTGGGTTGGTAAAGCAGTACTGCAAATGGCTCACAAATAAGGCTCAGGGAAAGAGCTTCATTTTAAAAGTAATAAATTGGTACCCCTAAAATAGATTATGGAAACATTCCATTATCTTTTAATTCCATGTTTTTACAATGTAATTTTGAAGCACCTTCCAGTCTAACGCTGTGTGAATTAAAACAATCCTCACTCACTCACTGACATTGAGTAGCTTCCGACTCTTTAGAGAGACTCCATGGGACAGGGTAGCACTGCCCCTGTGGGGTCCCAGGACTGTAACTCTAAGACTGAAAAACCTAGTCTTTTTCTTTTAATCCTGCTACTTAAGTGGGTTTATTAACGTATGTGAGTTCTTAGCCACTAGGCGGCACTATTTTACCACTGGAAAAGCATTTTTGAAGGAAAATTTCCATGTAAAAAAGTTTTTCGATTAAAAGAGATTAAAAAGAGAAAAGGCTCTTTGCTAAAAATAACAAGAGAGGAATTTTTTCCTGTAATTTTGTGACCAGTGAACCTGCACCCTTGATAAATATTAACAGCAAAAAAACCACAAAACCCGATGGAGCCCGATCTCTGTAAGACAGGCACCTGTCAAAAGGAAAACTCACATCTTTTTTCTAATAACAAATGATAGAATCATGATAAGCCTGCCTCCTGCCATGGGCAGAAAACTTTCAAGACCCAGGAAACCCCAGAGAGACCCAGACTGGGTCTCCAGGCAGACCCAGAGATCTCTGTCTTAGACATCAAGGATGTGGTGCCTTGCATTTGGGAAACACCAGCGGTGCTACCATGGCCTGATCACGAGAGACTATACGTCACCTAACTTTCTCAATTGTATTGTTTCTCAACTTTTGGCTTCTACTTGGCAGATGTGATAGATTGTTCAAACTGTCAAATACAAAAATGGCGATCTGAAATATAAACCCACACATCACAAATACAGTAAGTAATGTGTTTATTCCTAAGAGAAAGCAGGGGCTTTCGACTCCCGTCAGGAGTCACAGTCTCAGAAACCCACAGGAGCAGTTCTGCCCTGCCCTACAGGGTCGTTATAAGTCTGATTCAACTCGATGGCCTGAGTTTTGTTTGGTACAACCATACCACAAGGAGCCCTGGTGGTGTGGCTGGTTACTCATTGGGTTGTTAAGCCGAAGGTCAGCAGTGCCAGGCCACCAGCTTTTCCCAGGGAGAAAGAGTTTCTGGTCCCAGAAAGATTTGTAGTCTCTGAAATACACAAGGGCAGTTCCACTCAGTGCTATGTTGCTGGAAGTTGGAATCAATTCTATAGCAGTGCTTGTGTTGGTGGTGGTGTTTTAATTCACACTAAAAAGGTTTTTTGAGTTTTTGTGGGTTTTTTTGTTGTTGTTGGTTTTTTTAGTTTGACTTCTAGGACATAGTTGGAGCCCCTGGGTGGTCCATACAGTTAAGCCCACTACTACTAGCTAAAGAGTTACAGACTCGGAACCCCCAGGAACAGTTCTACCTTGTGCCTATAGGGTCGCTATGAGTTGGCATCGTCTCAGTGTCCGGGAGTACTCTCGGAAATGTTGGCAGTTTCCGTCTTCGTGAGCAAAGGTCTAGTGAGCTGCTTCCTAAAGGTTACAGCCTTCAAGCCCATTCTGCTCTGCACGCGGGGTAACCACAGTCATAAATGACTGAGGGCAACCAAGAAGAACCACAGACCACAGTCACGTATGTGCTTTATCATGATCATTACCAAAGAGATTTACTGAAAGTACATGTCTGTGATGAGCAATGAACAGGGGATTTCCCCTTTTCTGCCCCTTCACCATCCCCATCATTGTCCAAGGATAAGTTCCTCTTTCTAGCCCCAGCATGTTGCTGGTACCCATTGGGCCATCAGCAAATAGATGTAGATTTTGACAATTATGTTCACTAAGAAGTAACGCATGTGATGTGCTTTGAAGCCCTTGTAAAAATGGTGTGGTGGGGGTGTCTGAACTCCTCTGACTTCACTAGGTCGAAGGAGAATCATTATCAACATCAACCCCCCAAAGCCAATTCCTGTGAGGCCAAACACGCCTCCTCTGGCCACCCTCCGCACTCATCTGGACACTAGCCATCCCTCCCATGACACTCTACTTCTCTCCTGAGTCCAATAATGCACTGCAAAGGCCACATAAAACTCACAGACAATACTCATGGTTGTAGAGACTACTGAAGAAGTAACAGGTTGCAATGCAGAATCAGAAACAAGCTCAAGATACAGTTCTTCTGTCAGGACAGCCTCTTTTCAGCCATGTCTGTAGACAAGTCTCTCTAGCCTTCAACCTCTCTCAGCCCTTTGGCTTCTGCCCTGCTTGGGCAAGTGTAACAAAGCTCTTGTAGCCCTGCGGATGAGTGCCAAGAGGCACCCCACTCATCGGTAAGCCTTAGCTCTCCGACGCCGAGCGCTCCTGCTCCAGGGCCCAGGAAGCCCATTGCGCATCTGCCAGTCTCCTGGTTCTGCAGACACGATTTCTCTGCCACTGCTTCTCACCGCCCTCTCTTTCCCTAGGGTTGAGAACATTCTCAGCATAGGGATCCTGGGTCTAAAGGACACACTCCATACCCATCTCTTCTTCTTCTTGGCTGTGAGGTGTGGGAAACAGATCCGGGAAGAGAGTGCCTGCGGACACACTCTCTATGTCATACGTTAAGGAGTCTGGCAGATGCCTTCCAGTCACATGAACTCTTTAAAGGATGTAACATCAGTAAGGCAGTGGAGAGCAGTGACTTGAATAAAGGTGTCAAGGGTGGTAACTAGGTACAAACCACCCTAATCCTATCTCTTTA